GGGCAGCGCTTCTAATTTACAGACAGCCTTGGTGAATGTGTCTTTTCCTGTGCCACAGCAAACAAGTAGTGACTGAGACCCACAGGTGGAGAGCCCGGAGAACTATCAGTTAGCACTTGTGTGTCATATTGGATGTGTAACTTAGCTGTGCCTTAGGCTATTGAACAAGCTGCAACTCCTAGCTCACCGCCCACTCACTGTGGTGATGGGCACTTAAGGAACTCTTGAGCAAGAGAGTACAACATCTTTTAAAATATTTTTTCCCCTCCTCCCTCAGGCCTAGACCTGAATTACAGTCTTTGCCCAAGAGGCAAAAGGCTTCGTGCCTCTGTGGGCTGAAACAAGCCTTCGGTGTTGAGGTGGGTCATGGTTTTGGATGGAAGCACTGAGGCAGAACGCCGGCTGCTGACTTGCTTCCTGCGCACCCAGCCTGTCTCTGCCCGCCCTTAGATCGCCCTACTGTTTCCAAACAAAATGCATCTCTGATCATCGCGATCTTCTTCTTTTTTTCCGTTTCATTCTTTTAGCAAGAGGGATGCTTGGAACGGCTTTCTGGTTCCACGTGATTCGTAGAAGTGGTTGAGGCATGTCGGGAAATACGCGTACACACACACGGGCAGATGGATTTCTCGCCGCCTGCCCTGTAAAACGGGAGCAGCCCTCGGTCCGGAGTGGCGGCGGGTGCCGGGCCAGCCCGCGGCACGTTGCAGGCCGGCCCGGGCTCGCAGTCCCGCGCTGTGTCCGGCAGGGGGCGGCCGCGGCCCGGCCACGCTGCGGCGGTGGCGGCGCGCTGCCCCGCTCCCAGCCCGCTCCTCCTCCGCCGCGACACACCGGCTGCTCTCGTCCCGCCGCCTCCGTGTGCGCTTCAGCAAGCGGCGGTAACTCCTTCCTTCTCCTTGGCTGTGCTGCCCGCCCTCACACCTCCCCGGGCCGCATGAGAGAACCTCCGGCCTAGCACAGTGAACCCCTTGGAACCTGGCTGTGGCGCGGTGCAGGACCCAAGTGTGTCTGGAGCTCTCATGAGCTGTGGACATTAAAAGATTTCAAGGACGTTGTCCCCCATTCATCCCAGTTATGTCCTCTGCTAAAATAGGTTAACGGTGTCTAATTAGCCACTGCACATTGTCATGCTGCATAAAGATAACATCCTGGCTGTTCTCTGAGCCCTGCCACTTTATCTCCATTTAGATCTCCGTGGTAGTCCATTAAATGAGAAAGAAACAGTTTAACAGAGATGATGTCTACATTGGAACTTCCTTTCACCCTTCAGCACAGAAGTTGCAGGCAGCTCAGCTGTGCATCAGGGGCTGTGCGGGAGTAAGGTCTTGAGTTTGAGGTTTAACCCGTTCTCATTAATATGGCAGAACTGAGAAAAGACTCAAGAGAGACATCAGATCTATATCTTCTGCCCCAGGGCAGAGCTCGGAGAGAAATAGGTATTCTGTACTCGGAGTGACATACCATGGGGTTACACGAGGACTGTCAGGGTCTTTCACCCAGCTTCACAGCTATTCAATCCCTCGAAATAGAGAGGGGGTAACCAGCTTTCCAAAGCCAGAGGGAATATTCTGGGATTGTGGTTATGTTTGGGAGTGCTGATGGCCTCTCAGGGAAAGGGAGTTTAAAGGGAACTGTCCAGGTGGTGGAGTGAGTCCATGTTCTTTGCTCCTCCAGATGCAATGGACTTGGGAGCATAAGTGAAAAAAACAGATGTATGTATCTCTGTCTCACAAAAATGGGCAGTGGCTGGTGCATAATACAGCAGACTGGATGTATTTCTGAGCACTGGGATTGTATTGTTTTGTTTATCCTTACTTGAATTCCTGTATCTGTAGTTCATATTCAATTGCTCGTTTTGTAGGTCCTTATTGCTGCCCTCTCTGGGCTGTGCCTGCTGCTGCAGCGGATAAAGCAGGGCAGTGCACTTCGTGTTGCTCAGAACATGAGAAAAGAGTAGGAAAGCTGTGCATGCTGGCTTGGGCTTAGTCGGGTTCGTTCCATGTCTGCTTTCACTCACCACTAGGAAGCTCACAAGATGAATGAAGAGGGTACTGCTTACCCAGACCTGATATTCCTGAAGGAGGAAATGTTGGTCTCAATGTGTGGCAATTGGCATTGGTAAGATGAGACTATTCTTAGGGGTACTCCACAGTCCTTAAAGTAATGTGATAACACCATGAAGAAATCCTGTGAGGCTTCCCACAGTACTTGGAGAGCAAAGAGACAAGCAATTGATTGGTTCTGTAGGAATACTATCTCCAGGTATAGTTTAGCCCTCAGTTAAGTTTATGGAATGGAGAGAATTGATGGTGGGGCACCTTTCAAAGATCTGTTAATGATTTCCCTTGTTGCCTTGAAGGTTTTTAACCTTAGGACACAAAATGAAGCTTGTCTTTCCTCTGAGTCTCTTTGTTACATAGATTTAGGTACTGCAGTTTCACCAAGAAAGCAAAAGAGTAGTTAAACCAAAAATGTTTTGTGATTTTTTTCCCCCAGTCTGAAACAAGAACTCAAAAAGTAATTTGGCACCAAATAGAATGAAAGGAAGCCTTATAAGAAAAATAGAGGAAATAGTAGGTTGCCCGGTATCTTCTTTGCTTGATCATTTAGGCGACAGAGAGTGTAATACATACAATTCCTTCCTGTGCTACAGAAGCTTCATACTATATTTTTGGGATAGTTTTCTGCATGTGATCTCACGAGTTGGCTTGAAGTGCTAGTTTAATCAAATAATGTTGTACCAAATCATATATTAACAAACATATGTAGTACAGGTGAGTGGAAGCAGATGTCTCTCCTAAACAGAAGAGCGAGCAGTCATTTCTAGATCCTGCTCCAGTGCTGTTAGTATATAAATGCTCTGTATAAACTGCAGTACTGTCAGCATGAGAGACTTACCTCACCCCAGTGCCACTGTTGGGACCTGTGGCACAGGGACTAAGGTGTTCTCCAGGGGGCACTGACTATGGGGCTGTAACTTGCCCTGGGAAGAGGAAGGAATGGTCTTGTTTGATGGGAGAGTTCTAACACCTGGGCTCTGGGATTAAAGGGGCCAGTACTGTTCTCCCCCTCCCTGCTGATAAGTTTGTTCCCCAAATAACTGTTTTTTCCAATGTATGGTGCAGCTGCTTCATAATGAGGTATTTGCTTATTGTCTTGAATAAGTCCTTTCCTAACAACACGGAAAAGTTGAGAAAGCTTAAGGCTCAGAACATAAGTGAAGCAGTCTCTGCCTCTAAGACTAACATGACTGCCTTCCCTGTGGGCCACCTGGATATCAGTCACGACAGGGAGCTTAGGAAAAAGAAACAGAAATTGCTTACAGGGATAATAGTAGTGACCTTTTCTCCTGGGAAGTATGAACATGTGGAGTGTTTCGCTCCTGCCTGGAGTCAGGAGCAAAGATGTAAGGAGTGTGAGTACTGAGGAAGAGAGTGTTACTTGGGGTTGGACAATCATCAGGAGTAATGGGATCATTTGGGATGTTTCAGCTTGGAGAGGGCAAGGCTATGTGGGAACCGGTTCTGTGAAGGCATAAAGGAGGAGTAAAATAGGAGAAATCTTGCATCATCTTTCTATCTCAATCTTTTCAGAGTCTAAACGCCACTGAGCACTGGTGGAGGGCTCTCTGAAGCCATCCATTTCTTTCTCCATAGTATCAGGAGGTTCACAAAAAGTGCTTTGTGCTACCACTGGGGAGAAGGATGGAGCTGGACAGTTCATCCTCACTGGAAGAGCTCTTTCCCCAGTTACATTGCATTTTTGCTTCTGAATAGAGGGCGCAGATATAGCTGAAAGTGCAGGTGCAGATGTCGCCACACAGCTGCAGTTCTGGTTCTAGCAGTCGATATTACTGGGCTCAGATCACTGATTCAGTGTAATCTTTAGCTTCTCACAGACTGCAAACTCCAGAGAGAGAAGTAGAGACAAAGGACTTTCTTCTCCTTATACCTCTTCTCCGTGTAGCTAGACATCCTCTCTGCCTTGCTCCTTGCTCTTAGAAGAATAGATTATTCACAGGAGAGCTAGTTGAAGACTGCGACTTGCTAGAACAGAGAGCAGATGAGGAGAGGTCTGTGCCATGTCACAAAGTGCTTTGAAAAGAGCAGTGTAAGGCAGTGAAGCAACTTTTCTTACATTTTGCTGTGTCCTGGGACAGTGCATTTGATAGGGGAGAGCCCCATGTATTCTTTGTCATGGCACCCTGACTTCAGCTTAAGGGTGGAGAGAATATTTATTCCCAACGCATAGAAATGAAACTTCACTCTGCAAAATGGCCAAAGCAATCAGCGAGTGATGGAGTATCTGCTAAAAAGAAACCTGGCATTTAATTAACTTTTCAAAGTGCTGGTTCAGCAATCTCCATGTTTTACATTTTGAATATTGAACAAGCGTCCCTAATCGGGTCTGAATTACTTCTGGGCTTGCTGGGGTGGAGAGCAAGGGAGCTTCCATTTGCCAGTGCCTCCTTGCCATATTATTATTATGAACTCCTGTTAACTCAGCTAGATCAACCCTGATTTTCTGCAGCGACTGTGTGTCTGACCTGAGCTTGGCCAGCTCAGGTGGGACCCCTAACCCAAAAGACAACCAGAAAATCTTTATGCACAACCATGGGGAGGAAGAAACTGTTGATCTCTCAGGAGCAGGTAGACAAAGTATAGCACCTTCTTCACTCCTTAGTGCACCAACCTCTCTATTCAGGTATGGCCAGCTTTACCTGCAGCTGATGGCAAAGGGGATCTGAGAAACTAAAGAACCAAAAAGTATGGTTCTTGCCATATCTGGGCATGGCTGTCTTTTGGGACCCAAGTGGTTTTGTTTCAGTCTGTTGCACTCAGGGACTTTTTGATACACTGGCTTAATAGTAATTCAAAACTCTTTAAGGTGTAATGTGTTATATACAGGAACTGTTTTGCACAGTGGCAATTATATGGGGAAAGGTGAAGTTTTAAATTTTCTCCAGCCTTTTCTAAACATAAGCCTTCTTTGTCTTGCAGGTCAGGAAGAAAGCATGCAGAAGAAGTAGAAGAGTAAGTTCCCATTGTTGCTGAGACTTCTTCCATGACTTTTACATCTGATCTGATCATCTGACCAGTACACCAAGATCTGAAAGTTGTGAAGGATGCAGCCTGTCAGGAATTCATATCATGTGTCTTGGGATGGGGCAGGGCTGGTCATTGTATAGTTCCCTGGATATAGAGTAGATGATGGCTCTGTCACTCCCATAAAACAGAAAGAAGGAAAATTAGAAAGCCACTGCTTTCCTCCTGCTTACTGTTTGCAGCCTAGGGGTTTGTCTTAGGTACATCTTGCTTAGGCTGAAATTTCTGCTGAGCTCAGGAATGAGGGGTATGGAAGATCAGTTTTCCAGGTGGGTTAAGCATACTTGGAAACTCTCTCCTTGACAGGCAGTGAAGTTTGTGGGGAGGAAGGGGACACAGCAAGATATTTTTCTGGGCTTGCAATTAAAATTCTTTCTTGTGCTTTGCTGCAGCCATCGTCTCAGACAGCAGAGCCTGGAGGCATCAGATGATGGAGGAGGTAAGGTATCACCTACTTGACTGCAAGAAGTGCCTTCATACATGTTTAGTTGCTCTCCAGAAAAGTGAGCAGAGGCATCTTGTAAGAAATTGCAAGGAAATTAACCACTCTGAGGGTAAACAAATGTAGGAGCTGCTTAGGTCTCCCCAGATGAATGAGGGAGAAAGGGTAAAGGAGATGGAGAGGGAGTATGAGGAAATGAACTTGCAGTCTAACTCTGGCTCTTCATGAACACAGAATATAGAAAACCCTTGGAAAGCAGGAAAGTGGCAACAACGCACCTTTCTCTGTAATTACCTCCATGGAAAATAGTGGACTGGGCAGAATGAGAGCTAAAAGCAGAATAAGAGGTTAAGACTGGGGAGAGAAGTCCCTGCTCTCTCCTAGTTTAGGTGACAGTAGGCTCTGCTTAAAGCATTTGTTATCTTTTATAGCAATATTCTTGTTGTCTGGGGTTTCTGTCGTGATGGAATTCTTAATTTAAAAAATCTGCTTGCCCTAAGCCAGGATCATAGATCATAAGGTAAACATAAACACTGGTGGGTAATCCCATCTTATCCCTGTACAGGCTGCTATTAAATCTACTGGACTCCTGATTTAGCACTAGTTTTCTTTGTAGTGTATATTACCTGCTCTTCTAGGACTGGATGAGTCAAGAGAAATCTCAGGAAAAATCCACAATATGAATTTCAAGACAAGCACTAGACAACTGTGGGGAGCATAGAAATTCATTAAAGCCTGTAGGAGTTGCCTCAATTTTCAAGGATTTTATACTGTGTTTAAAAAGTTGCATCTGTAAAATACCACCAAACATCAGAAGAAGTATCTGGAGTCACAAAGGATCAGACATCAGTATGGTTAATGAGATTAAATGAAGACTTACTTGGGTCTTCCAGACAGATTAAGAATTGCAACATATGACTGCCAGAAGTGGCACCTTTATAGCATTGGCATCTTCAGAGCAGACAAAATTTTCCCCCTGGGAAGTTCCTTGGGCTTCTTGAATTTCAGCGTATGTCACTGAGGCTGGTAGTCTGTTCTGAACTGCTCTGACTGTGTGCATACGTGCTGTCCTTTTTGTTGAACCTTGGTAATGTACTTGGAGTATGACTGTCTCTGCTAACCAGGCATAAAAATGCTTGCCACATGTTTGTTTGTAGCATGTGACTTTCAGTACTCCAAGACCTTGGGTAATAAATATAGAATAGAATTGATGCAGAGTGTGGTATGAAGACATGTGGAATCCTAATAGACTTCACTTATTTATCTGTGCCTGACCTGTGGTTAGCAGTTGCATTTGGATTATTTGCAAACCGGCATTTAGCTTTGGATTACATCTGTGCATTAGAAGAAGGATATAGTATGGTTCCTACTCAGGCAGTTTCTGGTACAAATATGCTGGGTTGTGGATTTAATTTGCATATAGAAAATCTCTAAATGGATGATGCATTGCATGGTTGTGGTCCTATTTCAATAGGGAGATTAGGCAAACTATTCTGGGAGAGAAATTTTCCATGTGGGCTCTGCAACTGGAGTGAAGAAAAGTGATATATAAACAAAGTCCAGAACATTAATAAAATTACTTTTTTGAATAAGCAGAGAGATAAAAATAACTGCCTAGTGTAGAAGGCAGGGCTGTAGCTGTGGCTGTGCAGTAAATTGAACTGTATCAGCCTCCCCTTTGCATAGAACTGCACTTGAGTTTGTGTCCTTAACTGTAACAGTAAAGCTCACATTCTAAACATCCAAAAATCGAGACATTGGTGTATGGATCCCCAAGGATGGGTCACGGTTATTTTGTGCTGCATAATGTCTTAGCTTGTACACCTTAATATGAACAGGCGCGGTTGCGTAATGATTGCGGCTGTCAACCAATATATTTGGATCGCCTTCCTTTAACCTATTAGAAAGCTGAGCTGTACCATTCCATTAACATTGTTTGTCCCTCATCCAACCTTTTCATTAGAAGAATGAAGGACAAAACTATATGCCCTTAAAAAGGTGTTCTTGTGAATTTGAAATGTGCTTACTTGTGATCGTTTGTATGTCACTAATAACCAGAGTTTGGAGTCCATTTGAGAATGTGTTAAAAAAGTATAGGGGCTGTAGAGAGCCCAGTTTGGCAGGTAGAGAGTAGAGGGAAGTTTGTACAGCCAAGTGGAGACTTTTGGGCTTGATAGGCTTTGTAGTTTCAGAAATAAAAGTAAAATTATTTCACTGCTCCCGACCAGTGTATGAAGTAACATCTGATTCCTTATCTCTGTGGGAGTTTGGGGGAGAAGGATGGACACTTTGCAGGCTGTGTGGAATGACTGAAACAGTATGGGAGGTAGTAAATGTGTGAACCAGACAGGGACATGCATGGAATCATCTGCAGTTTCACCTATTCGTTACAGTTGCACAGGGAAACCCAGAAGGTGGAACACAGATTTGAAAAAGTGCAGTGTCTCTCCAAAAGTAGCACTGGATTATCTAACTGATAGCTGGGCTGATTTTCTACAGCACCCGCTGTGATCTTGGTGCCCACCCTCCTGAACACATGCTGGTAGTCGTGAGAACTCAGGCACAGCAGATGGGTGATGCCTCTGTTAGTGGGTCTGTGCCCATTGGACCTTGTCATGGGGGACCAGGTCCTCTGCATGGTGAGAAACCTGCTTTAGCAGGATTTAATGCATCACACCTGAGGAATAATAAACGCTTCACAAGCAACACAAGAGTGTTTAATTCCTAAAGGACAGGTCTAGTTAAGTCAGTTTTGGCCAGGGGCAATTGGGGGCTTAATGCTTTGTATGTAGCAATCTGTGCAATCTGAGAGAGAGGAGTTTGAGGGTAATTGCTCAATTTTCTGTCCATGTCAACAGGGAAAATGAGCAGCAGTGACTGAGCTCTGTATGGCAAGGAAACGGCATGATATGGGAGACGTGTGACTCTCTGTGGAATTTAAAAGGTGCTATCTGCAGTGCACCTCTTCCTTTTCTGTAGCAGCCAAGAGCTTCTGCCACGTGCAGACTATCCTTTGTCATGAGGTGGGAGGGAAGATGGGACAACCAAGCTGAAGGGCTTTATCCTCCCTTTGCTCCTTTTTCCAGCAGGGCATAGAGGGGTTTACTCTACTATGTGTCTCTTTCTGGTACAGAGCTAGATAGGGCTGTTTCCTGTCAGAGCGAGAAATACTAACATTCATCCCCCACCTCAGCAATCCGATTTGTCCTTTGGCTAGAAATTTCTTTGTTGTTCCTCTCTTGTCCACCAGTTCTGTGCTGCTGCGTTGTATTCCCCCTGATTTTTCTCCTCAGGACTTTATGGGAAATTACTAGCTAAGGTTGTAATCCCTCTCCCAGCTATTCCTACATAGACTATTGCCCCATCGTCAGAAGTCCCTTTCTGCTTTTTCTCTGTTACTCTTGGGATACATAGCTCCCAGAAAAGGGCTTTTCTTGGAAGACTGGGATGTGATGTGTGATTTTCTGTCTGCAGGAACAACAGCTTGTTATTTTAAAGCAGATAGTGTGTGTGCATGAGACAGCTGATTGAAATGAAAGCCTGACTGTGCTGCATATACAACCGGAACCTGACCTGCAGGTGAGGAAAGCTGCCAGGAGACAGTCACTAGATATGTGCCCTCAAGGCAAAACCCCTTCCTGCCTGCTGGGAAGCCTCCTCAAGGAAGCCGAGCTGATGATTAGACCTCTCTATGCAATGTCAAACCTCTAGAAGGACTTCTTACCCTTCTGGCATGTGCCAGCAGCTCCTTTGCATTTGAACGGGATGAGAGTCCAGACTTTGAATAAAGAGGGGAAGTGGGCAGATGCTGTGGTCCTCAATCCTTCTGGGTAGTGATATCTGTCAGGTGGGAGATCTGTAATTCACAGCCATAAAATATCCAACATTTCCTGAGCTGCATGCAAATATACACCAGTGATGATATTGCTCCAAACAGAACTGAGAATAGAGCACAGTGAGGGTTATTGTTGGCTCTGTCATTCCTGATCAATTTTTCCAGTTGCTTCCCTGGTGAGCTGCTGTTTCTACAGAGCACACCATGTGCTGGTGGATTCCAGAGACCGTGAGCTGCAAGGACAGATGCAGTGGCTGAGCATTAGGGTAAGAGAGGGCAGAATTTGCAGGAACAGTCAGGGATATGGCCAGTGGGTGCTTCATAGGTGCTCAGAAGGCAGTGTTGGAGTGATTTGGGGAGAGCTAAATGTTTGGGGCAGAGTGTCAGTGGTTTGTTGGGTCTCTGGGACTCTGCATTGTGACTTTGTGTGTGACTCTTGTCAGCATACCACAGCTCTCTCCTTTGCTGCTCCCCCACCCAATGCACTACTCTGAGTCTGTGTGCAAGGTCACTGAAGGGCAGACTCAGCCCAGCCTGATGGTTTCCACTGAACTGTTGGTCCAGGCCAGTTTGAACTCCTCCAGTAACTGCTGGCATTGTGATCTAGAGCCTCTGGTGCTGGAGGGAAGCTCTCCCTTGAGAGCCACAGTGGGCAGGGGTGAGAAGAGAGTATGTCCCAAGAGACTGTCTGAAGTTCTATTCAGCAGAGCACTGGCCAAGGGGCAGTGGGCTCCTTAATTACAAGGGAGCACACACAGCCTGTTGAGGGCTGAAAATGACAGTCTGAGGAAGCATCTTCTGTTGTGAAATTCTGCGATATGGTTCATACACATTCATATTGGGTCTGTGATTGCTGAGTCCATAAGTGTAGTTGACGGACTAGGTTTACCTAAAATACCCTTTAAGAAAAAGCTCTTGAAAGATGATTACAGAATTGAGACACCATCATTTAAAACTGCCTGAGGCAAACTCCTTTGAAAATTGCAGCAGTGGAGGGACAGAGAGAGAACCACGTAGCCCTTGATTGTAGTGTCGTTCCCTCAGGACCCGTCCCCCCTCCTCCTCAGTTTCTCATCTGATATGAGAGAGAGCAGCAGTAAGATTGCTCATCTGTCTTATGAAAATCCGATTCTGAGTGGCTCTGATCAAACCCGGCTGGCTG